CTTTGCTCCCTGTCTGCCCCAGCCCAGTCCCCAGCCCCGGCCCGTCTGTCCTTCCCTGCGGCTCTGTCCCTCTCCCGGAACTCCGCAGGGAACGGCCCCTGCTGGGCTTTGTTGGGGCTCCCTCCGTGGTGGCCCCAAAAGCAGGAGGGGTCCTGGTGGTGCCGGTCCCTTCCTGCAGCATCCCAACGCTGGGGTGAAGCACGCCCAGCACCTGGAGGAGGTGGAGCTGCTGGGAGAGTCCAGGGATGCTCCAAAAGCTGGGAAAACCACTCTGGAGCCAGGCTGGGAGAGCTGGGAATGTTCCCCTGGAGAGGAGAAGCTCCAGGGAGAGCTCAGAGCCCTGCCAGGGCCTGAAGGGGCTCCAGGAGAGCTGGAGAGGGACTGGGGACAAGGGATGGAGGGATGGGACACAGGGAATGGCTCCCACTGCCAGAGGGTGCATTTAGATGGGATTTTGGGAAGGAATTCCTCCCTGGCAGGATGGGCACAGGGTGCCCAGAGCAGCTGTGGCTGCCCCTGGATCCCTGGAATGCCCAAGGCCATGTTGGACACTGGGGTTTGGAGCAGCCTGGGCTGGTGGGAGGTGTCCTTGTCCCTCACCGGGCATCCAGCACCCCGCGGCCGTGCCCCTCGCTCCTCCTGGCGCACGGAACCATCCGGGCAGGATTTGTGCGCCCCGTCGCACGCCTTTGGCACCACCTGCCTCAGTTTCCCCAGCCAGCATCCCGCGGCGCTGCGGGGATCAGCGAGGCCGGAGGAGCGGGGACAGCTCCGCTGCGGGTCCCGGCCCCGCCGGGGCTCCATTCGCGGGGCGCCGCCGCCCTCTCGTGGGGACCCCCCGGCAGCACCCAGCACCGGGTCCCGCCTGCCCCCCAAAAACCACCGAGAGATGCCCCCAACACCCCCTCCCCAAATCCACCACTGAGCTCCTTTGGGCAGCATCGCCTGGCATCCATCGATGCAAATCGGTGCAAATCCAGCATTGCTTCTCCCCAGGCCAGGAGAAGCTCCTGGATGTCCCTTCCCAGCTCCTGCTGCCCTGGGTGGTCGCCAGGCTCCCCAGCCAAGCACGCACCTCCAGCACGGGCGTGGCACGGTTGTGGATGGATAGGATGTGGGTCACCCCGTTCCTCAGCAGGTTCTCGTGGTCCTCCGAGTCTGGAAACGGGAGCCACGTGGGAATTACCTGCCCTGCTGGGACCCACCGGCCACCCCCCACCCCCTGACCCCCATTCCAGCCCTGCCCGCTGCCTCTCATCCCCCACACGGTGCAGGGAGGAGACTGGATTCCTCCTTCCAGGCAAAATCCCCCTGGGATGCACTGGGGACTCAGCAGGTTCCTAAAGCCATCCCCAAAAATCAGAAATTGCTCTGAGAACTCAGACAAGGCTGTTGTGTGCTTGCTGATGAGGAGGTTTTCAGATAGGCCATGAATTTCCAGCATGGCTGGTGACCACATCTCCCCAGTGGACATCATCCCTTTCCTGGGCTGGACTGAGATCACTGGGATGGGGATTTGGGGCAGCTCTGGAAGATGCTGAGATTCCCAGTTGGGAGCACATGGAGTTGCCAAGGAGAGGAATCCTCCAGCCCTTCCAGCTGCCCAAGGATCCCAAAGCACCACGGAGGGGCAGGGAAAGACACTCACCATGAATATTCCCCAGGTAGAGGCCGGTGACAATCTGGGAGGTGACAAAAAGGAGAGAGAATTCAGATGGCACCAGGAACAAGGTACATCTGATGTGGTGGGAATGAGCTCCAGCAGGACCAGGACACCTGGCACCAAACTCCCCGGGCCATGCCAAACCAAGCACCCAAATCCATTGGTCATCTGCATAAACAGCCAGGAAAAGCTGAGCCAGGAGAGCAGAGCTCAGGAGAAACTCAGCACAGAAATGGGAGGAGTTTGGACGTGATCCTCTGGAGTTTCAAAGGTTGTATCTGCCAGCTGGGGATGGATGGATGCTATTTATAGCAGGATTGATATTTATTGCAGTTAAGAGATGTCAAGGCTGCAAATTTGGTCTCCAACTGGCTGTGGCAGGGTTATGAAGGAGAAAAGGGAGAGTTGCGGGTGTTTAAGGGGTGTAAGAGCCTGCCAGAGCATTTCCAGAGGCAAAGAAAGACAGAGCTGATGATCAGCTGGACTTGCTGGTGCCCATCTGGCAGCAGAGCCCTGCTTTGAGGAGTTTCAGGGTTTTCAGCAGCACTGGGTCACATCCAGCTGCACTCCTGGGTGCAAACTCGTGGATTCAGCACAGCACAAGTTGTGAAGGGGAATGCAGAGCCCTGCATCTTATGGAGTCCAAAACTGGATCCTACAAAAGTGTCAGCGCCAATCCAGCCCTTGGCAACAACAGCCTGGACCCCCCGAAAGGGTTTGGTGGCACTGGGGGGCTGTAAAAGGCACTTTGCCTGTCAGGCTGAGTTCACAGGGTGTGAATCCTCGGAGTTAAACCACATCAGAGCCGTGCAGAGGGAGTTTGCCCTGATCTGATCTCTCTGTTGGTGTCCCAGAGTCTAATTTTAAACTGGAGGACTCACATTCCAAGCGGTCGTTTAAGGACACCAACAGAAATCGATCCCCTCCTCCAGCCCTGGAGGAAAAAGCAGCACTGAAACCGCACTACCCCCACTGCTGGGGCACACCCCGAGGGTGGAAAGGGAGGAATTTCCCTGCAGGGACCCCTGTTATCCCTGAGGATGAAAATGCCAAGGTTGTACCACCCCAGGGATGAGCACTTAATGCCAGCTGTCACTTTTCTGACACCTGCAGACCCTGAGCTCTTCACCTCGGTTATTAACCTTGGATTTAAATCCCTGTTTGTTTTCCTAATTCTCTTGAAGTGCTTAGCATTCCAAAGGGCTGTGGGAAAGGTGCAGATAGCCATATTTAGGGATCTGGGAAGTGCTGCAGAAGGGCTGCAGAAGAAGAGAACGTGCTGGCCACCATCCCACTGTCCCCCTGTACCTTGCTCATTCCAGTCCCCATGGATTTTCTCTGCCCAGGATCAGGAATCCGGTGGTTTTTTCAGTCTCCAGGGCTACCTGCAAACAAACACCCGAAATTCCCAGGGAGGATGGTGAGATCTGACCCCCTCCCAGAGCAGGAGGAAGGGAAATGAGCCAGGAAAGGAGCAGGCAGAGCCCTGGCAAACTCAGCTCACCTGAGGCTGCTCCGGCGGGTCCCGCTGCTGCTCTGGAGGGAAGGGGAGCAGAGAGTGGCTGGTGCCAGGGAGGGGAGGATGAAATAAGGATCTGGGATCGTGGCAAGGCTCAGGTTTCTCTCCTGGCCTTCCTGAGGTTCCACAGCTTTTTGGAAGGGCAGTCCCAGGAGGAAATCCCTTATCCCAGCAGCACTGAAACTCCAGCATTTGCTCCCAAAATACCAATTTTCTAGGCACAATCCCCTGGCAGCTCCATGTCCCTCACCCAGGTTGGTGCCACCAGGCTGCCAGAGGCAGGAGCTGTGCAAAAAGCAGGGAAAAGCAGAACTCCAGCCACCACCAGCCTGGGATTGTCACCCTCATCCTTCTCAGCAGCCCAGAGATAAATTTATCACTTAAGGGATTTTTTTTCAGGCGTAGGAAGAGGAATTCATTGCTTAATTCCCACCAGATTACCTCACCTTGAAAACCTTCCCGAATTTCTGAGTGGAAGAGGTGTCAGCAACAGCCCACCACAGCTCCTAAACCACATTATCAATTTCCTGATGGTTTCCTGATCCATCAGGAAAAGAGCAAGCTTGGTTTAAGCTTCAGAAGGGCAGGGATCAGAGGGACCAAAGATCTTGGGAATAAAAACCATGGATGTCCATGTGTTAGCACACAAGGAGCTGCATCACAACTCAGAAAAATTCCTTCATGGATCAGCTCTGCTCACAGAGACACTGGGAAAATCAGGGAGTAAGAGCTGTTCAAAACCTGCAGAGTCCAGCTCAGCTGAAGGGAGAAATTTGGCAGCAGCTTTCTTAGCCCTGAAAACACTAAGCCAGGCAGCAAATCCTGTTCATAAACCAAATATCCCACCCCAAGAAACCCACCCAGAGACCAGCAACAGGCAGCTCTCAAGTTAACCAGACATTTATTAGCATTTCTGGAGGTGGAGAGGGTGTTCCAGTACAACAAGCAACGAGGTCACACACGGGTGATGGAATCATCTCATATTCAAGCAGAGCAGGTTCCACTGAGTTGCTTTATTTCTTCCATTCGTTCTTGTCAAAATCCCACTGGGCTGTGATGCCCTGCACGGGGTTCACCCTCATGTCCAACATCCTCTTGGTCTGAGCTGACACCCACTCGTCGGAGAAGGTGTGCGGGACGGGGCCGTACACTGCAGGATGGGAATTATGGAATTATGGAATTACATCCTCATGCCGCCTCAGCAAGTTGGGAATTTTGGGCTAAGTTTTGCTAATAAAAGGGTTTTTTCCCCCTGAAGTCATCTCACTGGAGCAGGGTGCCCAGAGAAGCTGTGGCTGCCCCAGCTCTGGAAGTGTCCAAGGCCAGGTTGGACAGGGTTTGGAGAAACCTGGGACAGTGGGAAGTGTCCCTGGCCATGGATGGAGGTGAAATGGATCTTCATGTGTGTGTCCCCATGTCCCTGTGTGTGTCCAGGATCTTTTCCATCTTCAGGATCCCTTCCAACCCAAACCAGCCTGTGAGTCTGTGATTTGTTCCAATCCCCACTCCCTGCATGCAGTCTCTGCTGCATCCAGCCCAAACCACACTCCCACATGGATTCTCCAGTGGTTTCCTCCATCACCAACATAGCAGCTTCCTGCTTTCCTATTTTTGGGAGCCTCAAGGCAGGGAGAAGCTCCTTTAACTGCTGCTCTGCCTCCTGGAGGCAAACCTCCTGGCTCCCTGGAGGTTGAATCCTTAGCTGGGAATGCAGCCAAATGTGGCAGAAACCCAAATGTTCACTACCCGGTGCACCAAAAGAGGGGAAACTCTGGAATCAGGAATTTCACCACTCAATCCTTCCCATTTCCCATCCTCCCAAAGCTCCACTCCCTTTCTGTGAGTCAGCTTCCTGAATATTTCTGCTACATCCCCACCAGCTACAGCTCCAGGATGGAGTTTTCAGGCAGCTCCTGCTGGCAATCCCTGCTCTGGCTGTTCCATAAAGCATCCTGACCCCACAGAATTCCCATCAGGCATTTCCTGATCTCCATGGAAGAGTTACTTACTGAAGTGCTTCTGCCAGATGAGGATGACTCCAGTGAGACCAAGGAAGAACAGAACTCCCCCCAGGATGGTTTTCCACTCGTTTGTCCCTTTGTTCATCTCTGCGTAGGTCTCATTGAATTTTATCCGATACACTGGGAGGAAAAAAAAGTATCAAATCCTCTCTTTTAACTTTTCCTGGGATTTGTAGGTGACCATGAACTCTGCAGAGGGAGGTAAACCAAGCCTGAGGCTGCCCAAGAGGGGGTGGATGCTAAATTAGGTTTGGCACACACCAAAGCAAATCAGTTGTTTCACCCCACATCAATTTTGGTCTCCATTTTACAGATTATCCTAAAGTTGGCCACAAGTTACAGTGTAGACCTGAAAGAAGGAAATCTGGGAGTTCTCCTTCCTCCCCTCCAATTCCCAGTGTGGTTATTGACCCCAAAGCTTCCTAGCACAAATAATTCGCACAGGAATGTTTCGAGCTCAAAAGGCTTCTCAGCTGCCACTGAAATCCACAGGAATTTAAAATCCAAAGCAACAGAAAATTTGGAGCAATTCCTCAAAAAGTTTTAAACCTTTCCCCGACCAGGCTCTCCCTTTATACCATGAGAGAAGTTAGAAAAGATGAGGCAGATTTATTTACAAGTCAAAACACCCACGGGGAGCCTTCATTAGCTGGAATTTGGTTCATTCCAAGGTCAGTGGTTATTAACATTCAAATCCAGGTTTGTGTTTGGGGCTCACTTCACACAGCTGGACTAACAATAGCATGTTAATCTGAAGAGATTTTTTTTTTTCCTGGCTGGTTGAAAGCAGATGGGAATCAATACATAAATAAAACTAATTATTATCATTATTTATTAATTATTAATTAATATTATTAATTATTTTTTGTTGTTGTTGTTGTTACTATTGTTATTGTTAATGTTATTATTATGTTTCTGGAAGAGGAAGGAATGGCTAAGTGTGCTCTCAGATATGGAACAGAATCCACAGTAGGGGCATTGCATGTTCTTTAAGAGCACTGAAGATCTTGGGAAGAAAAAGCATGGAGCACACAAGGAGCTCCACCATAATTAATAAAATTCCTTCATGGATCAGCTCTGCTCACAAACTCTGGGAAAAACAAGGATAAAGGGCATTCCAAGCATGGCCTGGAACAAAAAGCTGTCTAAAGACTTCTGCCATGGGCCTGGAGTGCCAGGACAAGGGGAATGGCTTCGAGCTGAGTGGGTTTAGGTGGGATATTGGGAAGGAATTCCTGGCTGGGAGTGTGGGCAGGCCTGGCACAGGTGCCCAGAGCAGCCCTGGCTGCCCCTGGATCCCTGGAATGTCCAAGGCCAGGCCTGGAGCAGCCTGGGATGGTGGAGCTCCATCTTCCAGCTCCCTTCCCAGCCATGGCGGGAAGGTGGGAATGGTGATGCAGGGCCCCCAGACCTACGTTCCACTTTCTCCTCCACGGACAGGGCGCTCCAGGCCGCCTTCTCCTTCTCCTTGAGCGCGCGCTGCTGCGCCGACAGCTCCCGCACGAACGCCACCTCGGGCAGCGGCACGTCCCGCCGGTCCGCGTACACCGGCAGCGTGTACTCCTCGGCCTTCACCACGCCCGCTGCGGCACCGGGCGCGGGACAGGGGACACGGGACAGGGGGACATGGGGACAGGGGACAGGGGGACACGGGACACAGGGACACCGGGACATCAGGACACAGGGACACCAGGACAGGGGGACACGGGGACACCGGGACACACACGTGGGGATGGACATGGGGACACCGGGACATGGGGACAGGGGACACACACGTGGGGATGGACACCGGGACACGCACGGGGACGGGGGGACACACAGAGATACAGGGACACACACGGGGATGGACACCAGGATACACAGGGACAGGGGGGGACACACAGGGACACCGGGACACGCATGGGGACAGGGGGATACACACATGGGGACAGAGATACAGGGAGACAGAGACATGGGGACACAGACACAGAGACATACACACAGGGACATGGGGACACGGGGACACACACAGGGACATGGGGACACACATGGGGATGGACACCGGGACACGCAAGGATCAGGGGGACACACAGGGACAGGGGGACACACACATGGGGATGGACACGGGGACACGCACAGAACGGGGGAACATAAAGGGACAAGAGGATACACAGGGACAAGGGGATACACACAGGGACAGGGGGACACACACAGGGACACACACATGGGATGGACATGGGGACACACACAGGGACAGGGGGACACACATGGGGATGGACATGGGGACACGCATGGGGATGGGGGGACATACAGGGACACGGGAAGACACACACAGGGACATGGACACGGCGACACAGGGACAGGGGGACATACACGGGGACATAGGGACACACACACACACACAGGGACACACATATGGGGACACATGGACATAGGGACACACACAGGCACACAAGGCCATGGGGACATACACAGGGACACAGGGACACACACAGGGACACACACAGGGACACAGAGACACGGGGACACACACAGGGACATAGGAACACACACAGGGACATGGGAACACACACAGGGACATGCACAGAGCGACACAGACACATGGGGACACGGGGACAGACACACACAGGGACAGAGTGACACCGGTCACAAACAGCTCTGACTGCTCACGATCAAAACCCAGCAGTGCGGGAGGAGGAAGAGTTTGGCAGAAATTCCCAGAGCACAAACAGGAATTGCAGAACGCTTTGGGAAGCACCTGGAAGATCACCCCCACTGCACCCCCTGCCATGGGCAGGGACGCCTGGCCTGGGCACTGCCAGGGCTCCAGGGGCAGCTGGGGGGCTCAGGGACCCTCCTGGCCCTGCTCAGCTCCTGCCAGGAGGGGACAGCCGGGGGGTCGGGCTCTGCTCCAGGGAACAGGGACAGGAGCAGAGGGAATGGCCTCAGGGCAGGCTCAGGGTGGGCAGCAGCAGGAATTTCCCCATGGAAAGGGGGCTCAGGGATTGGAAGTGCCCAGGGAGGGTTGGAGTGCCCATCCCTGGAGTGTCCCAGGAGCTCCTGAGGTGGCACTCAGAGCTCGGGGATGGGGCACAGCTGGACTTGGTGACCTTGCAGCTCTTCTCCCACCTGCACGATGCCACGCCTGTGATTCCTGCCACCTCCCCAGCTGGTGGAATGGTTTTTATTCCCCATGGTTTTTACTCCCTCCAGCCCAAGCCTGCCCACCCGTGGCAGCTCTCTGCTCCTCCCCTCCGGGCTGTGCTCCATCCCCTTCCCCACCCCCGACCCACCGTGTCCATGTGCCCCGAGGCACAGGGAGGTGGAGATGGATCTCCTGCCGACCAGGCTGAACACTCTGGAAGCCAACATCCTGCAGGGGCAGGCAGCAACAGTCAGTGCCAAGGTGAAATTAAGAACATTTCCCACGAGTTTATATTAAAAAAAAATCTATAAAGCCTAGAGATTTCCTGTTCCTTCTGCAGAGGACAGCACAGCCCTCCATGCTGGAAGGGATATTTAGTGGGAGATCTGGGATGAGCATTTCTCTCCCTGTTTTTAACCCCAGCCTCCAGCACAGGAGGCAAAGGACATTCCCTGATTTAAACCACCCTTTTAGGACGCTGTCATTCCAAAATAAACCATTCCTGGGCGGATTCCAGGAGCCCCAAGCCCATCCCGGAGCCACCGCAGCCACCCCAGCGCAGGGCGCGATCCCAGACAAGGCATTCCCACCGCACTGATTCCAAGGATTCCAGGCCCTCCGCTGACCCCAGCCCAGCCCAAGCCGACCAAACTCCCGCTGGCTGCCCTTGTCACCCCAGTCCCGCCCGACATGTCGCGACAGCGGCGACAGAACCGCGCAGGGGCAGAGTGGAACCCGCGGGAGGGGTCGCAGCGCTGCCCCCTCAAACACCCCCCCCACCCCACCAGCCTGGCGGTGGGTGGGGATGGCGGAGGCGCTCGGTTCTCGCCCCCGGCCCGTGCCCGCCCGGCGGTGGATGGGGATGGCGGAGGGGTTCGGTTCTCGCCCCCGGCCCGTGCCCGCCCGGCGGTGGATGGGGATGGCGGAGGGGCTCGGTTCTCGCCCCCGGCCCGTGCCCGCCCGGCGGTGGGTGGGGATGGCGGAGGGGTTCGGTTCTCGCCCCCGGCCCGCCCCCGGCCCGCTCCCGCGGCCCGCCCGCCCGGCGCGGCCTCACGACCTGGCGACCGTCCTCTACGGTGGCGGCACCGGAAGGAGCCGCGCCGGAAGTGGGGGGGCAGCGAGAGCGCGGGGCCGGAGCGCCCCCCCGCGCGGGGGCTGACGGGATGCGGGCGGACCGCCGCTGGAGGTCTGCCCCGATTCCCAAAATCCCGGCGTTGTTAAAGGCGGGAAAGAGCTCCGGGATCGGTCAGAGTGCCGACCCTGTGACCCCACCGTGTCCCCAGCCCAGAGCAGCACCTCAGGGATTCCTGGGACACCTCCAGGGATGGGCACTCCAACCCTCCCTGGGCAGTGCCAACCCCTGAGCCCCTTTCCATGGGGAAATTCCTGCTGCTGCCCACCCTGAGCCTGCCCTGAGGCCGTTCCCTCTGCTCCTGTCCCTGTTCCTGGAGCAGAGCCCGACCCCCCGAGTCTCTTTCCCACTCCCTCAGGAATTGTCCAGCCCCTTTCCAGCTCCATCAGGATTCTCCATCTCCCTCAGGAATTGTCCAGCCCCTTCCCAGCTCCCTCGGAATTCTCCAATTCCTCTCCAGCTCCCTCAGGATCCTCCATCCCATCCCCTTCAGGATCCTCCAGCCCCTTCCCAGCTCCTTTAGGATCTTCCAGCCCCTTTCCATGTCCCTCAGGATTTTCCAAATCCCTCAGGAATTCTCCAGCCTTTTCCCAGCTCCCTGAGGAATTCTCCATCCCCTTCCCATCTCCCTCAGGAATTTTCGAGCCTCTTTCCCAGCTCCCTCAGGAATTCTCCAGCCCTTTCCCAGCCCCTCCAGAGCCGGGCACAGCTCCAAGCTCCGGCCAGGAGAGCCCGGAGCCGGCCAGGGCCATTCGGGGTGTGCCTCTTACACAGAAACCCTTTTTCCTTTATTCTTTGGGATTCCTCATCCCTGGAAGTGCCCAGGGCCGGGCTTGGAGCCACCTGGGACAGGGAAAGGGTTGGGGTGGGAGTGGAGGATCTCCAGGGCCCTTCCAAGGTGAACCATCTGCGATTCACGGGGCTGGACTGGATCATCCCAGAGCTTCTTCCCACCCCAATGATCCCAGAGATCTTTTCCTGCTCAGTGATCCCAAAGATCTTTTCCCACCCCATCATCCCAGAGATTTTTCCCATCCCACCAC